CAAGTTCAAAGACAGTCTGGGCTACACAGTGAGTCTAGCCTGGACTACCTCGCTAGACTCAATTTCAAAAAACCAAAAATAAATAAACAGTATCTATGTAGGAATACTGGCACAAAGGGACTCAACAAAACTGTCAAGTTTAAAAAAAAAATAAAATCCCTGAGGGAGGGCCTGGGTTCAATACTCAGCATCACAGGAGAAAAAGGTTAAAAAAAAATTTTTTTTTTTTTTGGAGACAGGGTCTCACTATGTATCACCCTGAACTTCCTGCGATCCTACTGCCTCAGCCTCCCAATTGCTGGGATTGTAGGCATGTGCCACCACACTTGGCTTAAAAAAAAAAAGTTTATAAAAACAAAAGCTACAGAATAGTATGTAAGGACTCAGTGCTTTGTTTGGGGTGGAAGTGTTAAGAATATAAATAAATGTATTTTTCTTGTTTGAATAAAACAATTGTGAATAGATGACACAAATTAACAGCAATGGTTATTTGTCTAAGAATGAAAACTGGATGAAGAATGTTACCATATTTAATCTACTTAAATGATTCTTTTTCAGTTGGCGTTCAAACTGGAAATGTAAATAGAATTTGAAAACTTGCTACTTACTATGACTACACTGAATTTGTATTCGAACTATGTACTAAAGATAAAGATTAAACATCTCATTATCCTCTGTCTCTGATACATGAAATTACACAAAATGAAGACACTGTTAATAAAGCTGCATTAAAGTTAAACCAAGATTCGTAGATATACAAAAAATTTTAAAACAAAATATATATAGAATTGAAATTCTATTACTTCCTGCACAAAGTTTGCATGTTCTATAAAGTTTTTTGAACAACATAAAACTACCACTCTTCAAAGAAATGATACATACTCCCCTGTCAAATACTTTATCATTCTTCATATCACTATTTTGCCATTCCCATCAGCAAAGACAGAAATAAGAATCTACAGCAGTACATAAACTGTAAATTCTGTCCTATACGTGTGTTGCTTAGAATGTTGCAATTCTGCAAAAAAAATGCGTGTTCCTTTTGGATTCTGCAATCAAAAACATTTCAGTGAGAGCAACTGAAGACAAAAAACAACAGTATAAACAATATTAAAACTGAAAGAAGAGATGGGACACATATTTAAAATTTCAAATATCAAAATTGTTTTAATAAAAGAATGTCCTGTAAATTAAAAAGGAGTTGTGCAAAGAAAAATATAAGAACACACTTTCCTGTGAAAATTTACATAAAAAGTTGTTTGTTCTACATTAACTGGTTCAGTCTTAAAGAACAGTTCTGATGCTACACAAGGCAAATGCAGTCCTTCCTTTTTATCCTAGGGGAAATGATTCCAGAATCACTACCCCCCACCCCAGGACCTCCCTAATCCATCCCTGAGTAGATAACTAAAATCAGCAGATACTCAAGCCCCAATACTATAGTACATGTACATAGTACATATAAATCCTCTTATATACTTTAAATCATCTCTAGGTGATTTTAAATGCCTAATGTAGATGCTATGTAAATAGCTGTTACACTGTATTGTTCAGATGATGGCAAGAAAAAAAATCTTCAGTACAGACTTGTTTTCCTTCAAATATCTTCTATGTACAGTTGGATGAAGAGCCTGCAGATTCGGAAAACCAAATGTATGTCTAAGCAACACTAATTTGGATCAAAGACATTGGACTACCATTTTTCTTAAATGCGAACTCTAAACTATGACAGTATAGGCTATCAAATGAGTTTATTAAAAACTGAATGCAAACGAAGTAATTTGGCTTGTGCTCAACTTTTATGCTGTACTTAAAATACAAATGTTAAATGTATCTTTAGCCTTTCATTACGCAAGGCACAGCATTACATAGTCTCATGGGCCTGTAAAATCCCCAAGAACAAAACAGACTCAAAAGACCTTCAGTAAGCAGAGGGAAGATCATGGCAGCAGAGGTCAACCAAGTCTCCTGACAAGCAAGCAAAACCAAGTATTTATAAAAGGAGAATGCCAACTTTGTATCTATTAAGATAAAAAAGATACCCAGTCAACAGTACAGGGATTACTGCTAATCCAAAAGTTAACAAATTAAATGGTTTTGAGCAGAAGCAGTAAAACAACAAAAATTTAATTATCTAGGGTGTGAGATTATGCTAGAAAAGAGCTTAAAACACGTAGTTGTTGCATACAACCTTTACAATTCTAACATAAACCACTTCTTGTATGAGTAATATTTCCTGGGCTGAATGTAATAAAGACTGTGATGCTTCTTTGTGGCAACAATTATTTGAATGCCCTAAACGTGGCATAGAACAGTAATTATTAGTAGTTTTTAAACTAATATTCCACCAAAATACAACTTCTTAGATGCCCTGTGCAATTTTCATGTAAAAGTGTCAGTACCTTATGTATATTGAACACACAATAAATATTTTTTTTTTAAATGGCTCCTAAAACAGCTTTCTAAATCTAGGCACATCACTCCGAGGCTTCTTAGGAAATGGCCGATAATCTTTTTAAGGTAAAATGTGACACTCTATCCTTTCTAAAACTTCTAAAAAGTTTTAAATATTTATCAGCATATAACCAAATATAGGACCATGTGGTATGCTGCTCAAACCATGTTTACATTCTGATAAGGAAAGTAGAGCTTTATTATTGCTAACAAACATGTCTGCACCAGTCAGAAACCTCAATCAGGTTTGCTAAGAAAGTTAACCACTGCCAAACACATATTCAAAACTTTTAATAAATAATAAAAGGAGGAAAGAGAGAGAGAAAGAAATCAAAAGATAAATTCAATGTATCATAAACATACTAACTCACAACAGGGATAAAGAACACACTATATGTAATTTGCATATAAAAAAATAAAGAATCCCACCAAAAGTATTAAGAAATGAAGCAAAGTTTAAAAGTCAACATATAGTGTGTGTGTGTATGTATATATATATATATATATATATATATAAAAACCTAACAGCAGAAACTGTAAAGTACAATTGCTTTCAATGTTAAGATATGGTCGAGATCCTACTAAAAACAAATAGTACAGTACTTCTAACAGTAATACTTGTGGTGGTATTAAAACTAAAAATGATAAAAGTAAAGGAAGTAATGAAGCATTAACTCAATTAATGCCACTGAGACATTTTAAGAAGAAAAGACAGTGAGTAGAAAAAACTTCAAGATACTACACAGACTATGGAAAAAGAAGACAATTCCTTCCAGGAATAAATGAAAGATTAAAGAGAGAATATCTAGTCAGGCTTGGTGATGCCCACATGTACGGAGTTTGAAGCACTTAGGAGGTTGAGGCAGGAGAATCACAAGTTCAAGGCCCAGTACAAAACAAGACCCAATCTCAAAAAAATAAAAAAGTAAAAAATGAAGATAATAAATGTTAGAAAATAATTTCAAAGAATATTTTGGAGACATAGGCTGCCTGAGCAAGGTAAAAAATCCAGAAGATGTAAGAAATACATAGCCAAATTCAGATACATAAAAATTCAATTTCTCATTTATGGAAAACACCATCATAAAATTAAATGTATAATAATAGACTGAACAAAAAAGTATTTATAAATCCATAGAGTAAAAAATAATGGTAACTGGCATTTACTGGATGCTTCCTATATGCCCAGCACTTTTCTAAGAACTTTTTATACAGTGTTTTATTAAATTCATGTAACAAACCCAGAATTTATAAACTCAAATTACAAGTGAGTAAACCTTGGTAGGAAAAAATATTAAGTGTTTTGGAAAAGATCCACAGAGCAAGGAAATATCCTAGAGTTATCCTCTAGCAGTATAACTCATGGCCAACTGCACATCACTGTAATTGTGCCTGCCTGTAGGCCAAGAATAAAAGGAGCATGAGCAATGAGAGAAGGAATGAGCTCTCTCTGGAGAGGAAAATGACCTCATCCGCTGGAGAGGGAACGGCTTTATTTGGAGGACAATTTGGTGACAGTAACTAGTATATCATCCACAATCTTTATGCCTAAAATTCTACTTCTACTTATGCTGAATACCCATATAAGCAGACAATGGAACAAAGTCAATAACAGCAAAGACTAGAAGCACTCTAAGTATTGATAATACAATAATGTATGGTAGATCTTTACTGTCAATACCATGATAAAATAAGGTGGCAAATTCTATGCACTGACATAGAAATATCTTTAAGCCATATAAAGGGAAAACACAGAGAGTCCTAGAATATTTGGTATAATCAATTTTAAGTGTCAAAACAATAAAAGTAATATGTGTGTGTGTGTATCTAAAGGTAAACAGTGCACAGTAAGGTACATATTTTTTATTTAAAAATGTGTGATACAATAAATTTAAATATGTACCTTACTATGCACTATTTACCTTTAAGAGGAGGAGAAGCAGACCTAAAAAGAAAGTGATTTTTACTCAATATGATTCTTAATTTATAGCGTTGTGAAAAAAAAAAAAAAGGCAGTATAGCTGGACATGGTGATACACATATAATCCCAGCACTCAGGAAGCTGAGGCAAGAGAATAGCAAGTTTGAGGCCAACCTAGACTACATAGCAAGTTCAAGATCAACTCTATTTCAAACAATAATGATGACGATGTTGATGACAGCAATAACACAGACTAATGACCATGAATCAAAAGCTGTTATGCGAGACAAGGAGGCAACCTACTTTAAAGATCCACCACTGAGAATATTACTAAACAGGAAAAGCCTGGGAACTACATATTTGGACAATAGTGCTTTATCTGGTTCAGTTATTTCTACTAAAGTTAAGACAACTGGGCAGCAAACTGTCATTCACACTCCTCTCACAAGTTGAATTACGATACATGAATTAGAAAACAAAAATAGCTGAGTACAGTGTCATATGCTTATAAGCCTAGCAACTCAGGAGGCTAAAGTAGCTAAGGTGGGAACATCTTGAATTCAAGGCCAGCTTGGACAACTTTAGCAAGACCCTGTCTCAAGAAAGAAAAAAAAGTAAACATTACCTTTCTTGAAGCATGAATGTCAAAAAATGGCTTATTTCTGACACTAAATGGTTCCTGTGCTTTGTCAATGAGTCCACTCTTGATTTTTTCATGTCGAGGATTTATAATTTCTCGTTCTATACACTGCAGACGAATATTAAAATCACAATCTCCAACGGGCTGGGCCTGAATTATAAAGACAACCTTTTAATTTCAGCCCCCAAAACTATTTTATTGAAATAATTATTAAGGCTGGCACCTTGTACACAGCAGTCTCTATAAACAGTATCCTTTAGAGCTGTCTAGTACATGCATGCCAACCCAGATAACCAGTTTGACTAGTAATACAAATATATCTAAAAGTACATACAGTTATTTTAAAGCCATTTCTTCATAAAACAGTTTAGGAAAGTGGCATGAATTTACTATAAATTGATCCAAATATTTCACATGTTAATTAAAGCATTAATATACTAACTAGTCATTATTACTTACATAATTCATTAAAATATCTGTATGAAATCCATATAATTAAGGAGAATGAATAAATGACATCAAAATAAGCAGTACAGTCACCTGCAACTGTTTTTGTTAATGGTGCTGACACTTTACAGTGTAAAGAAGATATTAGACAAATACATTCTCAGCTCTAAGAACTACTAAATAAAAACTTTACATATGTTCAAAGTTATGCACTTCGCTTATTAGAAGGTAAAGTTATCTTCTCTTCTCCCCCAATAAGCTTTCCTTTGAGTGTCCTTAAAGCACATGATTTGAACCCTAAAATAAAAACTGAGAATAGGATGAAAGAGGAAATTTCCACTGGATTTCCAATAGAAACAAAGCCATCTCTACCTTTTAGGTCTACTTATAGGCCAATGAGTGTTATACCAGCAACTGTGAAAACATTAGCCAACTCTGGGATGCATTATTTTTGAGGAATATAGTAATTATAAACACAACAAAATGAAATTCTGACGTCTCCTAGCCTTGAGCATTTTTTTGGGGGGGTGGGGGCACAAGATCTCACTGTGTAGCTCAGGCTGGCCTTGAACTCACTATGTAACACAGGCTGGCTTCCAACTTGCAGCAATACTCCTGCCTCAGCCTCCCAAGTACTGGGATTACAGGAGTACACCCAGCTGCCTTGAGATTATTAAATTTGAAACTCTGTATTTGAAATACACAAATTCAACCCAAAAAATGAGATATATATACATTGAAAATTTCCAGGAAAAAAATGTCATTAACTTGGATTACAGCAATTCTGAAGTTTGAAAGTTGAAATTATTTTCTCATAAATGTTAAAACTTTAAAATTTAAATTTTTATGCCCAAAATTCTTAAATGTTTTTAGTCTGACTTGAATATTAAATGATGATGTGATATGAACATCTAGAGGAATGACTATGCCTTTTCATAGATGTATACTGATTTTCTTTTACTCATAAAAGCTATCTTGTACTGCCTAAGTAATTTAGACCTTCATATTACAATTAAAGATAAACAGGAAGCCATATTTGTATCTTCAAGTTATACATTCAATGCCTCATAATTATTTCTCTTTTGGTGGTTTTTGATTAATGTTCTAAGAAATAAAACGTGGCCTTTTTTAAATCAAGTACAAGATAACAAAAACCAAATAATTTTTTTAAAACATAATTTCCATTTTACAAACACTATCTCATTCTATCAGAGTTAAACTGTTTTTCTTTACTCAACTAAAGTTAAAGTAACCTAAAGATAAATATATATGGAATACATTAGGCAAAGCAAGAAAAAGGAGATATAAAAGTATTAATAAAAAAGATATCCAATCAGTGCATGACAGACACACATACCACCTGAGTAACAATTTTTCTTCTTACTATTTGAGGCAGTAACAGATACATTTGTTAAAAATATACCTATTATTCCAGTGATAATTTTTATTTTATAAATTAGTAATTTTCTACATTATTAACCAGGTATGGACGTATACACCTGTAATTCCAGCACTAGGCAGCCTAAGGCAAGAAGAGTGCGAGTTCAAGACCAGCCTAGACTTTGTAGAAAGTTTAAGGCTAGCCTCAACTACACAGCAACACACTATCTCAGAAGAAAAAAATAACATTATGAAAGGTACTTACATTGAATTTAATTATATCATATATCAAATATCTAGGAACCGCCTGTCCATTTACTTTGTCAATGATCATTTCCTTGAAAAAGAATAAGCAGAAAAGATCAGTTTTTCCAAACTTTTAACACCAATTTCTGTATTTTAATTATGTATATCGTACACAGAGAAAAACACATAAATCATATACACATTGAAGTGAAGACACCTGTATGGAGATCAAATAAAAAACTGTCAGCACCCAAAAAAAACTTCTCATTCTATTTATTATATATTGATATACAAGCACAATATCACCTCATATTTTTATGTATAAACTACTGTTATATTGTTTAATGTCTGACTTACTAGACAACATTGAAGAGTAAATAAATCACCAAATTTTAATTTCTAAAAAGCAGGATCATTTTTATACATAATTTTACTAAATAAATATTGCCTTTCAAGCTAGTTACTTTAGTCAAACTCTACAACTGCAAATGGCACACTTATTACAGATTTAATTCCAGTGTGGTCTTTTTTTGGTTTCATAAAGAGAGCTCTGCAAATCAGCCATTAAAAACTCAAAATAAATTATGTACACTTAACAGAAAGAGATAAGGATACAAAAGGATAATTATAGACACACACACATATATAATGCTGCATTATATAAAATTGTAATTCAGTGTAAAAGTATTTCTCTCTCCTCATATTCCTATCAAATTAGGTAGGTTTTCTTGCTATCCAAGTTCATGACAGAAAATTCACACGCAAGGGTGAGGATACAGCCCCGTAGTATAGCACTTGGATACCATGTGTGAAGAACCTGGTTCAATCCCAGCACCACCAAAAAATAAATTACACTAGAAAGTCCACACACAGTGCACAGTGAAGAGCACTTGCATAGGATATAAAAGGTCTAATGGTCTACTCATAGTCCAGAAAAAGAAAAATTATGAAAGACACTGATTTAATCTAGGCTTCATGGCACATGCCTATAATCTCAGTACTCTAGGAAGCTGAGGCAGGTGAATTGTAAACTAGAGCTTGGCCTAGGCATATGACTTAGCAAGACCCTGCCTCAAAATAAAAACTAGAAAGTGCTGGAGTGTATGTAGCTCAGTGCAAAACTTCTGCTTCAATCAGTTGCGGGGGGGTCAACACTGATTTAAGAAAAGTACACTTTGTTATTTTAAGAAAATATTATCAATCAATTTCTTTCTAAATATTTAAGATAAACATTTAATGATGATTATCAATGTGACCCAAAACTTGACATAAACTAAATCACACTTATTTTAAATTGTTTATTGAAATATTTCTGTTTAAATGCTTGTATCTGAGCATTTTATGTAATAACAAGGTGGTACATAGATAACAAGTTTCAACTAATTATTTTCAAAATAATTTCTCTTAATACCTGATACAAGACTATGTTCTTCTTTAAACATCATTTTCAAAAGCCAGAGAAAATTTATTATTAGCAAATAAAACAAGTAAAAAAGAATAAACAAACTGGTAGTATTTAAGCTGACAGTCAACAAATCACCAAGAGTGTCTTGAAACAGATAGAAAACTGGGTTCAGCTGTAGGACCATTCAACCTCTAGAAGCCCTTCTTGTAAAAGAAAAAATTCCCGATAATTTTCACTACTACAATCAAATACAAATAGGCAAGCTTGGTGGTTATCCTTCCTGTTATTTTTCCCTCTTCTAACAAGTAGTAAAAATAGCTAAACACATTTTCTGTATGAAGTGAAGGCGTTAGGAACCCACAATGAATTGGAGATATAATCTGAGTATTATTTTCCAACTAAGTTAAGAAAATACTCACCAAAAGTTCTTAAAAGAGAACAGTGCTTATGGATTCTAACAAAGACCAGGTCCCTTAGCTGGTAATAACAAAATGGTGGGAATTACTGAGTTAACCCAATGATCCCACCACCACACTGCTCTTCCCTACAACTGCCACCATTGCCCTAGGCTAAAAAAATCAGTAAACATAAAACATAGTTTACAACTTAATTTAGTTAAGAAAACTGGAACTGTTGTACACTGCAGGGGATTTATAAAATGGTGGATCACTTACTCTACAAACCAGGATACTTTTGAAAATGAAATAAATTGTTCTTAGCAATTATACTGAAACAAAAGGTGTATGCCCATACTATCTCAACCAAATTAGGACAGATGGTTTAAGCACTATTTTACCTGACAAAAAAAAAGAAAGCTTGCTACATAACCAACACTAGTTGAATACTAAAAGATGTGGAAGGTATTTTCCAGCAGGAAAAATGATGAGCAAACTAGTATTAAGAAAAACATGAAAAGGGATGGTATGGGATAAATTTTCCAAAGATCAATATAGGTGAAACTTACAGTTTAGGGATTACAATCGAAGATGAGATTTAAGACATTGCTATAAGCAATGGACAACTATTAAAGGTTTTAATCACTCTTCTCATGAACTGTTCTCTGAAAAAAATCTGTGTATATCTAAAGCTCATCTTCTGTAACCCATTCCTCAAGTTATCACAGTCTATCTGGATGATGAAATGTTCTGGAATTAGATACTGATAATGTGTAAAGGTTTATATCTAGATGTCCCCCCAAAGCCTCTGCGCTCCTCAGTGGGGCTTTGGAAAGGTGATTGGATAATGGATTAGCACTGATGGGTTTATAGCTGGGTGTGATGCTGTAGGTGAAGGCTGGTGAGAAGAGGTGGGGTCACTGTAGGTGTGGCCTGGAGATAATTATGTATTTCCTCCTTCCTTGATTGCCACTGCTTTCTGCTCTGGGATGCCATGTCATAAATTTTCTCAGCCATCATTCTTAGCCATGCCTCCCTACCTTGGAGTTAGTCAACTATAAACTGAAATCTCCCTGAACTGTAAGCCAAAATAAACCTTTCCTCCTTTAACTTGTGAGGATTGGGTATTTTGTCCCAGCAACAAGAAAATAATAACCAAGATACCATAGTTATGAATCTTGCAAATACACTAAAAACCACTGAAATAAACACCTTAAAAGGATGACTTTAATACTATTTGAGTTATATCACAATTTTTAAATATAAAACTACATTTAAGAAAAGAAATACTGAAAGCAGTTTTTCAGATTGAAAAGAAATAACTGAAGCCCAGGTATACAACATATACTAAATGTCAGTTATATGTGTAACAGATATACATATCATATAATATAGGTACAACAAAACGACTAAAAGGAAATATATCAAATGCTAAAAAGTAATCTTTTTTGATAGTTGAATTTACTTCACAATGTACAGACTTTCTAAAATTTCAACAAGCACATATTTTTTTGTAAAAAGATTAACAATTGAAAAAGAAAGGTTCCAAGATTCTCACTGTTAACTTTAATAATTAATGGGGTTTTTTAAGCCAGGTATGGTGGCACACGCCTGTAATCCCAAAACTCGGGAGGCTGAGGCAGGAGGATTGCTGTGAGCTCAAGACCAACCTGGGCTACATAGTGAGTTCTACGTCAGTCTCAACTACATAGTGAGACCAATCAATCAATCAATCAATCAATAAATAAATAAGATAAATTGTTGCTACATAGTGAGTTCTACGTCAGTCTCAACTACATAGTGAGACCAATCAATCAATCAATCAATAAATAAATAAATAAATAAGATAAATTGCTATTATTGTTATTATTATTATTAACAGCTTTTTTTTGAGACAGGGTCCCATTTTGTAATTTAGGCTACACTTTAACTCATTATATAGCTCAGGCTGGCTGCCTCTGAAGTGTCAAGATTACAAGTTTACAACACCATACCAAGCATTAACTGCTATATTCTTGTCTTTGTGACAATGTTAAACTGATTCAATGTCACTGATTTGTTTCAAATGAATTAATACCACATTTCTAATCTATTTTCTACCTTTTGTGGTCAAGGAACATAATTTAACAGTTCAAAACAAAATCTCAATCCAAGAGCCAGACAATTGGATGGTTTGAGTTATTCTTGGATCTGGAATTTTACAAAAAAACAATTTGCAAATTAAAATGCAAATCAGGAATCTAAGAGGACCAACATATCTAGAAAAACAGATAAGGCAACTATAATTCTGGTCCAAGTAAATTGACATCATGAATTATACTGCTATTTTAAAACCCCGCAAGAATCTGCCACTCTTAAATTATCCAAGCTTGGAGTAAAAATAAATAGTATTACTAAGTTAAATATATAGATAGTTAATTATCTAATTTTTAAGATACCTGGAATGCCCTTAGCCCATTTCCAACAAAAATCTTTTCTAAACCGGGCATGGTAGTGCATGCCTGTAATCCCAGCACTTGGGAGGCAGAGGCAGGAGGAACATTATGAGTTTGAGGCCAGCCTGCGCTATGTAGTGAGCCCAGCCTAAACTACATAGTGAACCTCAAAAAAAATTTTTTTTCTACAGAAATCTCTCCCTTTCTAATAGCAACCCTGACAACTTGTTTATCACAAAGTGCCAACACTGAAATTAAACCTGAATACTGAGGTTTTAGCTTTTAAAAAGAAAAAAAACTGATGCTCAGCTGCTGGGACAATTTGGCTCATGTGCCGACCGAAAATGCTCTGAATGACTACATGTCACACCTTCACTACCCTGATCTAGCATATGATAAAAATAATTATTTCCAATCAAAAAGGAGAAATGAACTAACTGAACAGTGTTAAGGTAACAGTCTAGATATTTTTAAACTGCATCTCATCTTACTTCTTTGTCAAAAGGCGTTTCAGAAGGATCATTTAAATGTGTGTACTAAACCATAAAAGCACTAGAAGTAAATGCAGGTATCAGGATAATTTTGAGGTGAAAATAACCCTCCCCTAAAATGTCACAAAAAGCCAAATATTCTTTATGAAGCCAAATATTAAAAACCAAGGGGGCGGGCACAGACAAGGGGAAAAAAATGAGAACCAAGACCTGTGATGTAAAGGTACAAGATACCAATGATGAAGGTAATTGTACTGTATACCTACAATGTACCAATAAATTCAATAAAAGAAAAAGAAAAAAAAAACAAAACAAGGTATCTATCATTTAACATACATCTACGTGCAGTATATGTATAATTTGATTACGATTTTTGGCTTTGTTTTTGTTAGTTTCCAGAGATCCCAGGCCCACATAAATGCAAGTCAAGCATTCTAATACTATGCCACATACTCACACACACATACACACACATACACACACACAAATATTCTATATGTAATTTATGTATATTTAAACTACTGTGCACTAGAAGAAATACAAAAAAAGGAAAATACATTTTCTCAAAATATGTGACAAGTAATCCCCTAAATAAGACAAAAAAGAATCTTACAATTTTTTTTTTAATGAACTCAAAAAAAATATGTAGAAAAGATTTGGACAGGCAACTCACATTAACTCACAAAGAAGTGAAAAAATGTTAAACCTCTTAACAAATTCACATAATAGCAAATTAGAAGAGTAACATCTATTTGACTATGTGTTGGGCATACATTTCATCACTACCTTACAAACTTTCTGACTTATGTTCTTAACAGTCCAAAAAGTAAATAGTATTAACCTTGCTATAGCATAATGACTAAACTCTAAGTAAATAATATGCAGTACCTCATGTAAAAAGAGATGGATCAGTTAGGTACCCAGAGTTAAGGCTTTTAACCACTGCACTATTAGCCCTGAAAATGGAAAAATCATTCTTTCCTTCATCAAATTAGAAAACAATGAATTAAAACCCACTGTCTAAGATATTGTGCAGAGCCACTATATATGTATAACTGTATATGTGTCTAAACTTTTTGAAAATAAAGGTGGAAATTACACATTTTTAAAATTTTAATGGAAATGTCCTTGAACCAAATACAACAAATGTTATGCAACCTGTTACCATCCCTTCCTTGGGAACATTACTCCTATTATACACTTCTGCCATGAAATACCTAAAACCTACCCCACCCCAACCCAACCCCTGTGTATACGTATATAACTCAGGTAAGGAAGACTTTTCTGGACTTTTCTCTGAAATGGACAGATGGATACTGGAAGGAAAAGTTCTCTTCTTGCTTGGGGTATAATCCAACTTGCCTTCCTTGTAATTAAAAAAAAAAAAAGGCCTCATGCAGAGTTAGGACCAAGCAATTAAGAACCAAAAATGGAACCAAAAACAGTTCCCAGCCAGTATCATTAAGAGTCAATCTATTTTGTTTTTTGTTTCTTTTGAAGCTGGACTTCAATTATTTATACTTAAGAGAATTCTAATACACACTACATACAACCTCATCTCTGAGAATCATCCTAAGTATAATATTTGACAAGTATGAAAGGAAAAAAGTACAAAATGTAACTTCATATATGTCTACCAAAAATCCAAAATGTCAACCAAGCCAACATAGTGATGAACACCTATAATTGGGATGCTATAACCTGGGAGGATGCAGCAGATGATTGGAAATGTGAGGTCAGTCTAGGCCACATAGTGAGTGTCAAAGACAGGCTGAACCAGAGTGAGAGAAAAAAAAAAAAAAAAAAAAAAAAAAAGACAACCATCAATAGAGAACTGGTCAAATAAATTGCAAAATGTTTTCTCAAACTTGCCTAATGAGAATCACTAAGTCATTTGCACAGATACCTAGGCTCTGAAAGATTCCAATTTATGAATTTTATGGGCTATTGGAGAAGATAAGACTTTGAACAAGTAATTTTTAATCCTATAATTTTCACCATCAATGTAGTGTGAAAACTTCAAATTTTTGTTATTTATACATAAATAAGCATGCAATTCAGACTTTTTTTTTATAAAAACATGTCCAAAACAAACTGCTAAGAAGAAAAATGGCAAGTTATAGAACATGTATCATTTGGTTCTCTTCATGCAAAATCACATAACTAATTTTCACGGTAGAGGTACTGTGACAATTCACAATTCACAATGTTTCTGGGACAGAAATGAAGCCCTAGCATCCCTAAAGATTCTGATACATATTGTGTTTAATAATCTCTGTTCTAAATTGCTCTCATTACTATGCACATGTCATATACCCACAAAGCAGATCTGTATGGTCATCAAAGGAACAACAGTCATCAAGAGGCAATAGAAGATACTATTACAGTAAGAGTTCTGGGCCGGGGATTTAGCTCAGCAGTTCAGTGGCCTGCCTTGCAAGCTCAAGGACCCGAGTTCAATCCCTGGTGCCAAAAAAAAGAGTTCCAATGAGTTTTATCAGCATTTCTGTGATTTTATACATTATTTTAGTTTTATTTAAGTGAATCAGTATTTGTAGTACTGAAGAGGGAAAAAGGTTTTTATAAAAACTATTTTTTGGACAGTACTAGGATTGAGTATACCCCCAGAGGTCATTATTTATTTTTTATTTTGATACAGGTTCTCACTAATTCACTGAGTTACACAGGCTGGGCTCAAACTTGTGATTCTCCTGTCTCAGTTACCCAGAATGCTAGGAGTAGAGGTGTCTGCCACTAAGACTGGCCTACAGTAATGTATTTTTACCAAAACAAATTAATCAAAGAGATTTTATGAGATGAGAAAAATGTTACCAATTTTAAAAATTCAATTATGAAATTAACCACAGTTGGTTTCAAAAGCATAATTCTCTTTAAAGAAGGATTATAGCTAAAGTACCAAGGGAAAATACAGAGGTAGTACAATATAATTAAAATTCAACTGGGCCAGGGATTTAGCTCAGTGGTTCCACCGCCTGCCTTGCAAGCACAAGGACCCGAGTTCGATTCCCAGTACCAAAAAAAAATTTTTTTCAACTGACCAGTAAAATAACAATAAAATTATTCTTTTGAGGAAAATTATTTTTTCAATAACAAAAAAAACATTAAATTTGTTCACTTATTCTGATAGTGACAATCATCAATACACAATCCATTTAATTCACTTTCCATATCTTTAGTTATTTTCCCCACTTTAAAAAAAATCCTATTTAGGTTCAAAAATTAAGTTGGCAAGTCTCTAAAAGGACTATTCAAACTAAGTGCAGGTGAGAAGCAGAAGATAACATCCAAATAAAAATTAGATTCAATTCTAAATTTCTTAATAGAAAATATCCACTTTTGAGGAAAAGAAAAACAGCAATGCTTGATTTATATATAAACATATCATACATTCACACACACTATACTTACCCCATCCAAAAGCGTATTTGATAAATGCATACGGAGATCTTTACGAAATGGAAATTCCAAATTTGACACATGAAACACTGAGTTATCTCTATCAATCATAAAAACTTCATTTGTGCCATCAATCAACATCATATAACTGTAAATTAAACAGTAAAAAGATAAAATTAACAATATAGTATCAAAAAAGTTATAAAAAACAGAACTTGGTTGTCCTCAAATTATATTCTTCCTATAGTAAGGTCCACTAGCATACCTCTCTGTATCTTGCAAATTAAAAACCATAAATAACATTTTTTAAGTAAAACACAGTATGAGGAAATGTTTTCTATGGAGAGAATGTGATATCCACGAGCAACCTTATGAGCCATTGTAAAGAGAGAATGTTTCTCTAACTTTTATTAGATCTTAAACATCAAAAGCTTACAAAGTTTATAAAACAAACATATACACACCTGTAATTGCATTTTAGGGCTCAACAGCCATATGAACTAAATATTATTTTCTCCACTGCAAAATTGAAAAAAGCAGGGATTTGCAAACAGCCAAACTTTAAACTATCCAATAATGCTCTCACTACCATACCAGCTAACTGAACGTTAGTTGTTCTCTGAATCATTATTATGATACAGCAAAACACAATTTCAAGAACAATTTTTCTTCTCATTCATGACTATAAAATTAAAGTACTTTTAAACACAAGCTATAAGAATTCTTATTAGTCTTTATATTCTCAAATCCAATCAGCACTATATATAAGTGGAATTTATACACTTATATAACAACCTATCATTCTTCAAATGGTCAAGCTAGCATCTCTGATTTCCATCGATGGATTATATCAAGCACTTCACACCATACAAAAAGTAAAGTCTATATGGGCTGAAGTTCAGGAAATTACTGAGTGAAAGGCAAGACTACCGAATGAATAACAGCAAGACTTGGGATTAAAATAAAGACCATATTTAGGTACCAAGAGCTCCAAAGAATGTTGAGAAAAACCAAGGCAAGAATAAAGATAAGGTTAAAATGCATGACTCTCAAAGAAACAATCATTTTGTGTAACCATTTTTATTTGGTTTTCAACATGAAAGAGGGGAAGAATAGCCTAGATGTACCCCTGAAAATGGAAAACACTGACCAGATACCCACCACCCATAAGGTATAAGAGAAATGTCAGAAAAAAGAAGTAACAACTAGAAAATGGAGCTGAAGCACATTAAGATCCGGGAGCAGAAGAAACATTCAATGAAGAAATGGAAGCTGATACAGAATTTGGAAGATAATTTGTTTACTATGAACAAATTCTCTAAAGAGCAAGGTGCACATATTTAGTATAGGTGAGGGCAAATGACTAAGATAAATATCCAAACAAAACAGGGAAGAGCAACAATAAAGCCCAAAGGGGCTTCTATTTTGGGACTACCATGCTGGTGTTTGTTTGCTGTTTCTAAAATAATTAGCTTTCACAAGCCCCTTGAGGCCTCTGGAAGGCACGGATTGCTCAGGTCCTTGATATATATTGAAATAGCTGTACCTATGGTAGATGGGGAGTATGGAGACTCAGGTTTCACCAGAAAAAGAAAAATCAGCCCCAGTCTGGACTGAATGTGCATCTGAGAGATGCCAAGCCAGCAGCAGGCTCAAAGCCAACAAGAATATTCAGTTCTCAAGATCCTCTTTATATAGTTTTTTGAAGTACTAATCCCTGGTAAATAGAACATATTTAGGTTTCTTAAAAGACATAAGCAGGAGGAGGGATTTGGCTCAGTGGCATGATGCCTGCCTTGCAAGCACAAGGTCCTGAGTTTGATCCCTGGTACCAAAAAAAAAAAAAAAAAAAAAAAAAAAAAAAAAAGCAAGCAATGCTCTGGGGTTGTTTCCAAAGGAATTTAAATCAACCTAAGAAAAAGTCAATGAAAAGCAATTATGATATCATCTACAAAAATGGTATTAAAGATATACAATCCAAAATGTTGCTTAGGGACCAGGACCAGTATTTTGCAAGCTTTAGTCAATAAATAGGTATTTCATAGAAAACCAAGTTCAGGAAACACTGTATCCTTCTCTTAGAAAGTCAAGATATTAGGATACTTAAAAGTCACCATAAAACATATAAGTATGTTTATATTATTAAATTCATTGTCTCCTAAACTTAACCTTGACATGTTAATTTAACATAATATACATAATATACATGAGGGTAAAAGATGATTTAATCCTCATACAATCTTAAAATGTTAAAAAGAAAAAGAAATGGACTGCCTCTTCTGAATATATAATGAATAAGAATTAAATTTAATGTTCAAGTAGAATAAATATTAAATCTCAGAGGCCTGGAACTCTTACTTGAGATACAGACAGATATAGATATCTTGCTATCAGACCTTCCTTTTTACTTCAAGTAGAATTATTAGTTAAAAAGAAATAACTACCTATATACATGTATAGCAACAGATTTAAAGACTAAGAAGGAAAAGGCTTTAAAGGATAGAATTTACTACAAAAGATTGCTCTTGGGAAACACAGCTTACATCTGCAAGATAGCAGAGAAATTACTGAGCAGTTGGTATTTAGAGATTCTCACACACATACAAATTTCCAGGCTTTAGAACAAGTTGCTAGGCTATAATTTTTTGGCCTGAATTCTAATTCCAAATTTTCTTTTGTGATGTGATACTTACAAAATGTAATGAGCTATCTCATGTTAGAGAAGAAAAGGACTCCAAAGTCTCTGAAAATAGCCAGATTATTTAAAAAGAAGCAACTACCCCATACCCTGCCAGATATCTACATAGTATATAACTATGGTTTTACTTTCAGTGAATGCAAATCACTAGTGTAATATAATTTCTGATTAGAAAATTACTTCAATTGCAAATTTAATATTCAGATTTATAGGTATTTATTCTATAACCATTTTCATTAAAAGATAAAATTTAATTAACGCATTAAAATTTCAGTGAATTACAAAACTTTTATTAAGTGCAAATACCCAAGCTACACAGATTACAGAAAAGCCATACTGATAAACTACTTTATAAGTGTAGGTTTTCCAGCCTGACTAGAAATAAATCTTTTAATATTTCTCTGGCATTAAAATATGAGATATATAATCAAGTAAAACAACTCATAATTTAATATCAACACCAATTCAGACCCAACTCTGATTAATTACACCTCTAAATATCTCACACTCTGAAAGCAGAGACCATATCTATTTTCTTCATTCCTACAGACCAGATGCCTTGCACAGCAAGCCTACATGTATAAGGCAGTTTATCACATTTCATAACAGTAAAAAGTGTGCTTTCACTGAAACTAGAAACAAATTTCTCTTACCTTTTCTCTAGTGCACCCAAATAAAACCCAACAGAAAGGACACAACCAAGGGAGCAGGGAAATGTAGTTGGTGGACTCTACCCCCTTCAAGTAAAAGAGTGAGTTGGCACTGAGAAACAGGAGGTAAGTACAGACCACTAACCTGCCAACACCCATGATGTACGCCCAAACAGGGTGGGGTCAACCATAGGCAAGAGAAATTATAAGGCCTCTGTGGTGGATCAAGTGAGCAATCACAGTGGATAAGACTACAGTGATAATAATATCTTATAGATAAGTGGATAAATTAGAATAGGGGAAAGGTAATAAGGGAAAGGGAAATAAAAAAACATGAGAAAATGAAAAAATGGAAATAAAGTATTTGTAAATAGGGAAGGGAGAAGAGGGTGAAGGGAGGGCAGGGATAAGGGGAAAAAATGAGAACCAAGACCTGTCATGTAAAGGTACAAGATTCCAATGATGAGTAACTGTACTGCATACCTAAAATGTACCAATAAATTCAATGAGAAAAAAAAAAAAAAGAAAAAGACTACATAAAAATATTTAGGATTTGTGAATCATACAGTCTTTGTCAACTCTACCCTTGTAGCATAAAAGCAGCACAGATAACAAGTAAATGAATTGGTATAACTATATTTTAATTAAATTTTATTTATGGACACTGAAAAAAATTAAAAGATATTTAAGGAGTGGATTGAGAGGATTACATGGGGCCAAGAGAATAAGAGATGTCAAGGATGACCTCTGAGCTTCTAGCTTGAAAAAGGAGTACATTTATTTACTAATCCTTAGGGCATTTAAGGAATAAAGAAGAATTTTGTTTAGGAAAAATGATAGATACTATGACTTCAGTTTTAGACACAGACAATTTCATTTTCACAGTAAAAACAAAGGGCCCAGATTTTCTCTCTCCCTGTCTCTAACAGGTTGGAAATAGGCTCAGGAACTCCCTTTCCAAGACTTTTAACTTAAGTGAGCAAAGAAAAAGCATACTGTAATTGAAAATTTATTTGCAGCAATTGAGATGCTGTCAGCAAGTTCCAGTTTTGACTTCCTACTAAAAGCATTCCTGGGCCCTCACCTTGGCTATGGCCTTTGCTGCTGGCCACCCTCAAGCCACCCTCAAGTCCTGTCCATTTTCTAACAGTGGTACTCCAGAGAGCTTCCCAATATTTTTGTTGCATAAGTCAGTTAAAATTAATTATTACTGCTTACTGTCAAGAATACTAATGGATGTAATATTTTTCTTTTTTCTTTTTGCACACTATATACAGCTGAATTCAATTAAGTTAAACACTCCTATGATGTAACCCACTGTTTCCTTCCCAACATATCTTCAACACCAACAGTTACATAATATTAGCTATTTCTATATTTTAACTTCATACCAAAAGACATGACATCTACTTTTCACCCTTCAACAGAGACAACTGTATAATGCCAAGCCCAGAGTTAACTTTCCCTATTTCTCTCATAAGAATCTGTTCTCAAACCTCTGCTGTTTCTGTACTGGCTACGTTTCTTCTCATTTCTAGTCCCAAAGTACTGTCACACAAGTCCCTGAAAGTTAGCTCTTGAAGCTGTAGAAGCACACAGAAATAAATTCAGGTAATAAAACTTCTCTCAAAGAAAATTCAGAGTTTAAAATCACTTTCCAAGATATAATTTATAAACCTTCCTGATATAAGAGCAGTTGGTCAGATTCTGCCCCTTATTCATAAGCACCTCTCATACCTTGTTCTAAAAACAATATAAGAAAGGCTAACTTGCCAAACCCCAGCTTTCTTCCTCCCCCAT